TGGATCTCTTTCTAAGCTGTGCTGTACTGGTCTGGAACAGGCCATAAGGCCATTATAGCGCAGCTGGTGTAACAGTTTATGTAACAACTAACACTCAGTTGCACAGAGCAGAAACACACTGTCTGGATATGGAGGATGTGTGTTTGTCTATGTGTGTGTTAGTGCTTGTTTGTTTATATTTGCACGTTTGTTCTCTTGACCTTTCATGTAACACAACGACACCCACGCCCACACACACTCAAATTGACGTTACATAAGTGTGCAGTCTGACATGGCGTGTCAATGGAATCACCAGCTGACAGACCCACTGGATTTGCTGCTCTGAATGACACACTCACATAAACACAGACAAACATGCACACATAATAAGTGTTCTGCTTTGTACAGGGCTGGTGTTACAATGGTGCAAGAGTCAGGTAAAGTTCAGGCTCGGAAGTGGACTCAGAGTGACAGACTAGTTAACTTTAGGACCTGTAGACAAAGTTCAAGCAGTCATTTTTTCCTACACGGGGTTTTCATTGTTAAGGATTTCTACAGGCCTGTAGAAGAGAAAATATCCAGTATTTGATAAGAAAAAGTTTGGATAAAAGTGTATCATTTGTTCTTTATGCCCCGGCCACACGAGGACGAAAACGGCCGTTTGCGTTACTGTTTAGTGTCATATAGACCATTCGGCCACACGAGGACGACCGCATACGGCACTAAACGACTGAGGAAACGATAACGGGTACCAAGGTGGATAGAACGGCATACGCAACGCTCTGGGGGGTCCAACGGCTTTGTGTGTACGCCTTATACGATCATTTTCTGATAATGATTGCGCAATAGCCCCGCCGCTCCCCACCTCTGCTGCTCACCTCCGCGTACCCCGCGCCATTGCTGATGTGTTTCGCCACCAACAACAACAACAACAACAACAATGGCAGATCGCAGAGTTGCTATCGTGCTCCGGACGCTACTGACCATGCTACAGTTCTTTGTGCAACATCTACAGCAGACTTACACATCCGGGGGGGGATCTTACTCGCTGCTTTTGTGGATATGTACTGCAGCTTCAGCGATCATTTTCTGATAATGATTGCGCAATAGCCCCGCCTCTCCCCACCTCTGCTGCTCACCCCCGCGTCAAAGTAAACTGCACACTGAATTCAGATTATTTATCTTTCTCTCGATATGGACCTAAACGCGAGTGAAGTCTAATCTGACAGGACGGAGACACCTCTCAAACTACCTAGTTATAAATATGTTTATTTTGACTGTCGGCCGGGGTCACTCATTACTGGATCAGCTGCTGCATGAAACAGACACTGACGCTGTCAGAAGAGAGGGAGGAAAAAGAGAGGCTCCGTGTATTTTATTATTATATTATATAGATTCATTATTCATTTGTTTTAAAGCTCAATAAATAACAAAGAAGACCTTTGACCGGCACTTTTATAATTTTGTCGGAAGATTTAAACTTTAATACACGTTGACTGGCGAACAACTCTGCCCGGTTCCCTCGGCCCCCACCGCGGAGAATAAACAACAACCATGCTTCTTCGCTGCTTTTGTGGAGGAAGTTACAGCGCCACGTACAGGCTCCTGCATATGTACTGCAGCTTCTCCAGCGGTTGGAGCTAAACGGAGCGGTCTCGTGTGGGCAGACACTATCCGGATAACTATTGCGTGTGGACGGAAGCTTGTTTGCGATTGCGTTTGCGTTAATCCTATGCGTTTAGCCGTTTTCGTCCTCGTGTGGCCGGGGTCTTACAATCATTATTATCTAGGTTCCTCTGGTGATATTGATTGTTCCTAATTTTTAAATTACATTTTGGGCGACTTTCTTTTTTTCATCTTTGCTATTCACATACAAATACCAACTGCCAACTCTAAAGGGGTTTATATCTTGAAATAATCTGCAGTGTTATTTTGAAATCAGAAGTAGAGTCAACTGTTAGTATTGTCATTTCAATGTTGACCTATATGTACTTAACTTCTTCCATTTAATAATACTATATACTTCTACGCTGATGCGTTTTAGAGGGAAATATTGTACTGTTTTCTCACCTGCATCTATTTGAATCAAAACTTTATAAAATGTGATGCACTGAACAGGAACAACTGCATTCTGAGCACATGAATGCCTCCTTTAAGTTTATGCAATCCTTAAAAATGATATCTTTATAATAATATACTGTACCTCTGACAGGAACCATTCTGCTGCATAATGAGTGCTTTCACTTTGTATATGTTAAGTACATTTTGGTGATGTTAAGTGTATACTTCATGGTTACACGATTTTGAAATATAAAACTTATTATTTACTCCCACACATAGAAAAAGGCTCAAATTACACATCATGAGAGTGTACCATTGTACTGTTTCATGAACTGGGAAAGACTTGAAAATATGAGGACTTGTGATTGCCTTGTATATAGCATAATTGATTCTCCACTTGTAAATCTTTCTTTCTCCCCTGATGCTGACCTGGCCAAGAAGGCAGCAACGTTACACATAACACAAACATGTCAAATACAGAGAACACAACTAAGAAAACAAAAGACGAAAAAGCAGTCACTACATTGTGCACATTAGGACAGTAAGAAAGATGCACTACTTATTACTGCAAGAGCAGCTGGTGGTAAGGACTTCAGACAACTTCAATTTAAAAGAGGCTATTTGGACAAGTGCCATCAGTTTGAGGCTTGATTGAAGGTCATTCCAAGACCAAGGACCATAATGAAAAAGACTCCTTTTTCCAGCCTCAGTCCGCACGGCAGGAACCTGGAACCGTATCCAGGCACTGGATCTGAGGTTGTGAGAGTCCCAACCTGGAGCAAATCTGGCACATATGTACAGTGGAAGCTTACCTAAAATGGCTTTGTACATTAATAAAAACCAATGCTGTATCCTATGCATACTAAGTGAGGACCATCCAGTTAGGCTATACAGTTTGCAATGATGAGTCCTATAGGGTGCATTTGATATATCGCAGTGCAGCATGGTAGAGTGGGTCAAGTTTGGCCAAAACAGTGGGACAGGCAAATCTATAGATTGTATCACCTACACATCATTAATACATATCAACACACACACACACACCCACACACACACCCACACCCTAACAGCTGCAGATGTCCTTACTGTCTCCTCCCCACTGCCTCCTTCTTTCATTCGTTTCTGTTCTCCCAACATTACGTCTTTATCTTTTTTAACTCATGTCTGTTTTATTGGTGGGGGGGTTGCATCTGTCTGCACCCTCTGCTCCTCATCGCTGTTGTTGATCAGGCCGATTTGACTCCTCCCACCATACGTACTGTATAATCCCTCTGATCCCCCCTCTCTCTCCCTTTCTGTTCCCGTGTGGGATCAAGCATCCTGTCAGCTTGACTGACAGACAGTTTGACATGTGGTGGAGAGAGAGAGATACATGGAGTGGGATAATACGTGTGTGTGTGTGTGTGTGTGTGTGTGTGTGTGTGTGTGTGTGTGTGTGTGTGTGTATGTGTATGTGGTGTGTGTGTTCTAGCATTACTATACTTGTGGGGACCTAAATCTGTTTACATAGTCACGTGTGGGGACTGGCTTCCCTTATGGGGACAAATTGGAGGTCCCCATGAGGGGGATCATTAATTTTAGGGTGAAGACTTGGTTAGGTTTAGGGTAAGGGTAAGGTTAAGGGTAAGGGTTAGGGTTAGGCATGTGTTGGTTATGGTTAAGGTTAGGATAAGTCTCCAGGAAATGCATGTAAGTCAATGTAATGTCCCCTGAAGTGATGTATACATGGTGTGCGTGTGTGTGTGTGTGTGTGTGTGTGTGTGTGTGTGTGTGTGTGTGTGTGTGTGTGTGTGTGTGTGTGGTGTGTGTGTGTGTGTGTGTGAGAGAGAGAAAAGATAAAGGAGTAGAAAAAGGGGGGATGAGGGAGGTAGAGATTAGTGTAGCGGGATTGATGCTATTGCTGTCTGTTGCACATTGATGCCGTGAAGTGAAGTCTGGGTGCACTGTCCATTTGGTTTGCTTGTTTGATGTTTGGTTCGCTGATTTGTTAGTTTTTTGGGCTGCAGAACAAGAACTGGAACTTCAGATTAATTGATATGGACTGGTTTGCTCACTGCTGGTTTGCTGGAAGAGGCTAGAGCTGCAGACGCTGGACTCGGAGAGCATTACATTTCTCTTGGGAGAAAGTAAGAGGAGAGGAGGGGGAAAAAAGTGGAGACAGGTGGCATAAGATGGGGTATGGTGCTCAACTTGCAAACATAAGAGGAAAAAGACACCTTGTGGCTAAGTATTAGCTAGAGTGAGATTTCTCATTTGCTGTGTTAGCGTAGGAAGCAAGAGGAAAGATAATGTCAGTCATCTGCTGCTGCTTCTTTAACCCGAGCTCTTTTAGATTGAAAAGTGACCTGCTCAGACCGGGACCGTAGCAGGAGGCCAGGGAGAAAGAGGAGACTTTGCTTAGAGACGAAGAAGAAGGGGGGAGGGCAGGAAGGAAGAACAAGACAGAGAGAGGGGGAGATTGTTATTGTTGGGTATTTCAGTATGGATCCATAACAAAGTAGAAGGATCTGGGATGTTGATGTAACTCAGGACTCATGCAGTTGAGAGGACAGACTAGTAGAGTATAGTATCAGAGTTCAATCTAAAATGTAAAAGTACAGGCATTGTGGCGCAGTACTGAGTTGCTCTGAGTACTTTCTGGCACAGTAACGGAGCTTTATGTTACAGTGCGGTTTTGCAGTGCCGTACTTTAGTATTGTCCAATATAAGGGCTGTGCAGTATGTCATGCGGTGTTTGCTGTCGCTCCGTAGTGGTAATCTGTAGCAGATGTACTCAACATGCTGTACCAAAACATGAGACGAGTAAGTCCTCTACCTCAGATCTCTGTATGTATGTGCGGTTCATTTCAGTTTATATGGACCACCGTCGTCTTGGTGAAATACATACTGTATGTCTTAGGTTTCCCGATCATTTCCTTTGCGCTATAAATGTTTAATCACTTTGGTGTTCTCTCTTGCAGGCCAACCCCCCTCCAGTGGTGGTCAACACCGACAGCGTCGACACCCCCCCATATGTGAGTATTGCTTCACATATACTCCTAATGAAATGTAAAACCTCTAACCCAACTGTGTACTTTGCACCGTGTAAAGTTGTTGCCAAATCTACTTACAATTGTATTCTTTAATGTAGTTACCTGAGCAAAGTCAAATAATATATTCTTATGCAGCAATTTACATTTAACACAACACCTTACAGTACACCTACACTTGTACATTTAGTATTTCTAATTTATTTAACCCCTACTTTGAGAAAGCTTTGTACTCAAAATAGCTTTTTAATATGACAAAAACACACCATATGTGAGAAAATAAACCAGTGATGAACACCTGTTTGTAGTCAGGTTGACTTTTTTTTTTATAGTATAATAAATACAATTTGTATCTTGTATTTTGCCTCCATATGAGATTCCAGTTGTATCTGCAATACTTTAGTAATTGTACTCCCTGTAAACAAATACCAGCCATGGAAATGTCATATGAAAGAATATCTTACTCTGTAAAGATTTGCAGCACTTTTTGAAGTTGTATCTTTGAATGTTCAGAAATGTCAACCTTTCTCCCCAGTACAAATACATATGGTGCTAGCAGCTTTCTAGATTTAGACAGAAAGCTAGGCCAGAATTGAATGGGTCCAGATGTCATTTTACTGGTGGCCAGCTGCCACCGAGAAGCACTGTCTGTGGTTGTTAGATACGTTTATTATGTAATTACTGTGGAATGACTCCTTGCTGAACTGCTTCAAATACAGAAAAGGGGACACTAATTTATCTTCTGCAGATTGTACTTATTTTGCTGTTAAACGAAATACGGGAAACACACTTTACTTTGATCATCTATGAAAATGTTTGTGTTTTCTTGTCGCTGAAAGGGTGTTATGCTCTTTTTAGAGAAAATTGATGTAAAATGTGCACTGCAGATACACAAGGCAAGTTATCTTTACTCTGTCTAGAGGAAGTAGAATCTATAACGTTGAAAATAAGTCATTTTTTGTTAATAAATTAACTCTATTAAGCAGGACAATATCACAAATAGGTTTTACAATGTTTGTGAACTCTAGCTTTAAGAATGGCATTCAATTATTGCCCTTAATTTCTCTAGAAAAAGGTATATTTTATGTTGAATAGTATCCGTTATTGTAGGTGATAATAGACGTACTGCTCATGGTGGCTTATGGAAGCTTGTGCCCTCTGTTTGAAACGACAGAAATTCAAAATCTAAACTAATCTGACTGCATAGAGACACAGATTACAGCCAAGGGGATTACATGGGCCATTGGGATGCCACTCTACCAATATGTGTGTGTGTGTGTGTGTGTGTGTGTGTGTGTGTGTGTGTGTGTGTGTGGGTGTGTGTGTGTGTGTGTGTGTGTGTTGTGTGTGTGTGTGTGTGTGTGTGTGTGTGTGTGTGTGTGTGTGTGTGTGTGTGTGCCTGCAGCAGCTATAGCAGGAACAAGACACTCATCTCCAAAGTATAAACGGTCTAGAACACAAAAGTATATAATAGTGAGCTCAGATCAGATGTAATTCCCTGTGTTGTTCAGTCAGTCCGGAAATCTAGATGTTAATATGTTTTTCTAGTACAGTAGAGCCGGCCGAGCAGCGTGATTGGCTCATGGGTCTTAAATATGACATCAGAGGTACATCATCATTAAGCACGCATTACCAGTTTAATCTCTGGGATTCATGCGTCATTCATAAAAGATCAAATGTCTATTTTGCGTTTCTATCATTCTGATTTGTTTGTTGATGTTTGCATTACTTGATAATAATCTGTGACACAGAATACTGGCAGAAACAATGCGATGCTTGGTGACACCAGGGTTAAACATAAAGGTTAAATGCAACATGTGTCACTGACGTCATTATGAAGGTCTGACGGAGGATCAGCCAGGTGTTTGAGAAAGATGCTATCTGATGGATGAATGGAAATGGCATTAATGAAGGATCCTGGGTAAAAGGAAACACGGCTGCAGAGAGACAGGATGTGACCACATGAGAGGTTGTGTACCTGTCAATAGCAACTGACACGGAGGAAAAGCGCTGCATATAAATGATGAATGTTAAAAGCTGTAGCGTGATATCTAATGAGCGTTTGAGTGTCCATTACAGGAAAACAGCTTCAAGCATTTACTCTTAATCGACACACTTTTCCTTTTCTTCTTCTCCCTGACAGGTCAATGGAACAGAAGCAGACTATGAGTATGAGGAAATCACGCTGGAGCGGGTAAAGACTTACATACATGCCACATGCGGGCTTATTTTATACACTGAAATGTCATAATTCACATCAAACAGAAACTAGTTCAGAAACTAAAATGTATTTAAAACTGATAGAAATGCAACTCAAAAGCAACAAAAGGCTATAACACATTATTCATAAAACTTTGATCAGCTCTGTCAGCTAGTTTCTCATTTATCTTCCTAGTCCATCACTCCGACCCTGATAACCCTGTTTCCCCCTCCTCTCCGTTCCTCCTCCATCCTTCCCTTCTTTATTTTCCTCATCCTCCCTCTCTCATTATATTCTCCTTTCTCTCACCCGGAGGCTCTCTCCCTGCCTCTCTCTCTATTCTCGTGTGACCTGGTTCTGTCTGCCTGACTGGATCTGCTTTAAAGACACTATGGACACACACGCATCACAGCCACAGACATTACACTAGCTCTAAAAATCAGTGACAAAGCACAAGAGAGTGAGCGAAACATACTCAGAGAAATGGCTGTGATGAAGTCATGGTGTGATCTATTATGTATTATTTGGTAAAAAAGTGATATGTGGAGAAAGATATTATACATATCATTTGTTCAGGTGATGAATCAGTTTTGTAATAAGTTGAAATTGGGGGGATATTAAATGTAGTTTTGCAATTAATGCCATTTAGATAAGTATAGTATTTAGTAGATGCTTCTTGTTCATTTTGGCAATGGGAATAATAAATCCTGTATTATTTATTGTCCTCTTTCCACACTGATTTGTGCCTGACGTTTGCATATCCAGCTGATAATTAGTGTTGTTTGTCTTAGATGACCAACACTTCTAGCATCAACAATTATCTTATATAACCAATACTGTCTGTGTGTTTGGATAGTGTTTTATATTTAATACACTCTCTGTATCTGTGTGTCTGAGCAGGGTAACTCAGGTCTGGGGTTCAGTATCGCAGGAGGGACTGATAACCCTCACATCGGAGAAGACCCCTCTATCTTCATCACCAAGATTATACCTGGAGGGGCCGCTGCCCAAAATGGACGACTCAGGTACACACACACACACACACACACACACACACACACACACACACACACACACACACACACACACACACACACACACACACACAGTACACACACACACACACACACACACACACACACACACCACACACACACACACACACACACACACACACACACACACACACACACAGTACACACACACACACACACCATGTATACATCACTTCAGGGGACATTACATTGACTTACATGCATTTCCTGGAGACTTATCCTAACCTTAACCATAACCAACACATGCCTAACCCTTACCCTTAACCTTACCCTTACCCTAACCCTAAACCTAACCAAGTCTTCACCCTAAAATTAATTATTCCCCTCATGGGGACCTCCAATTTGTCCCCATAAGGGAGGCGAGTCCCCACACGTGACTATGTAAACAGATTTAGGTCCCCACAAGTATAGTAATGCTAGGCCACACACACACAGTATTAATAATACATTAACAGTATTGTTATTTTAAACTAAATCTTAGTCATAACTCTGAAATGAAATGTTGAACTTTTTTAACAAATCATACTTCTGGACAATAACTTTAATTGTGCAGTTCTTAAAGGTAAAACAATACATATTGTAATTTACTAGTTAATTTTAATTATCCATGAATAATCTGAATCAAGTAAGTATAACTATATTTGTCAAATAAATGAAGTGGGATACAAAGTACAGTATAATTATCCAAAATATATAAAGTAGAAATGGAAAGAATCATAGTAAAGTACCTTCAAATTGTATTTAGTACAATCATTGAGTAAAAGTATTATTTGTTCTTATTTGTATAGCTTACAAGCCACAACAACTACAAGATGTTGACAACAGCTTGCAAATTGAAGACTTTGAAGACTTTCTTTGCTTTCTTTACAAAAGATCATGGTCTCCAAACTAGACCTCTTGTTTCAGAGAGAAGCACTATCATTTGAGTTTAAGACTGTATGTGTGTCATTTATATTCTTCATAAGCTCCTGATGCAAGGTGATTATCTTCCTGTGCAGGGTGAACGACTGTATAGTCCGGGTAAATGAGACGGACGTCAGGGACGTGACCCACAGCGGGGCGGTGGAGGCGCTGAAGGATGCAGGAGGTCTGGTCCGACTGTGCATACGGCGCAGGAGGAGCCTCAGCGAGAGGGTCCTGGATATCAAGCTGGTCAAAGGGCCCAAAGGTGAGAAAACACTACAGAAGGTAAACAGAACCTACATATAATAGGAGGCTGCGAGTAGAATATACTTTGTGAAAAAACAGATGATAAAGACATTAACCGATGCGACAGTGAGAAAGTATGATGAGGCTTTTCTGAGTCAGCATGTTCCTGCGGTAAGTATTCTGATTTGGCAGGTGCTAGAAAAGACTAATAGAGCCAATAAAGCTTTGAAATATTAAATATATGAGATGGTATGGTTTAACTAATTGGATTTCACTTTTTACTATGCAGTAAATTGTATTAAATAAAAAATCGAAATGTCAGAAATGTTCAAAAGGGCCTGAGACTGAGAAATTGCAGCACTGCAGTATATGGAAATATATAGCAGTATGCTTGTCCTCAGGAAACCCAGAAGTTGCATACAAAAATATGACCTATTGATGTTTTCTCTCAGGTTTAGGATTCAGTATAGCAGGCGGAGTCGGAAACCAACATGTCCCGGGGGACAACAGTATCTACGTCACGAAGGTCATCGAAGGAGGGGCTGCACACAAAGACGGACGACTACAGATAGGGGACAAACTTATGGCTGTAAGGAAACCCCTTTCATTAATCTTAGTCAGCAGATTGTATTTGTCTTAAATGCAAAGCTTTACATTTCTCACATCAACACTTGGTACCTTCTAATCCAATAAAACTACTTATTACTCCGTAAGGGAATGAAGCTCCAAATTATTCATTCCATGAATTACTTTTATTTACATTTCCCTTACTAATACCAAATATAAAATGAATTGCCCTTAACAAAACCAGAAAATGTAATTATTTTACAGTAACATTTCAAAATGTAGGTTGACTTCCTTGTTTATCATTTTAATTAAGAATTGAGCAAAAACAGGTTTGTGCTCCATTGCATTGGTTTATTATATCCTTACAAATGACATTATATGTTAATTACCTTAAAGGACTAAATAAGTTGTTATACAGAAGGATAGTGAACACAAGTAAATTAGATTTGTACTCTTCTGAGCCTGTTAAAGGATATTTTACACAGTAGCAGTCAAATTGAACATATAAAAAAACACTTTATAATAACATTTTCTTCTCTATTAAGTTAATGTCAAGAAATATATGTTACATCATGATACATCTGCAGCCACAAAACTGCATGATAGAATCCAAACGTTATGTCTTCATGTGTGTCCAGGTGAACGCCTCCTGTTTGGAAGAGGTGACTCATGAGGATGCCGTGGCTGCGCTGAAGTCCACTCCTGACGTGGTTTATCTCCGTGTGGCCAAACACACCTCCCTTTTTATCAATGACAACTTCCCTCCTCCTGACGTCACCAATTGTAAGTACACACCTTTCAGTACAAGATTCACCCATCATCTTTTCAAATGACATGAGTTTTTGAGGGATTTGGCATTTTATGGAACTTTATTTACAACATCAAGCCAAGAGGCTGGAGCAATTTAGGGCCATATGGTGCACAGAACAGCGAGGAAGAAGGCTTTTGGGATGTTTGCTTTAGATGGTTTGAAAAAAAGCCTTACGTTTCCAGAACATATCCTCAAATGTCAAGCAATACGTGACAATTTCCACATACTACAGTCTTTTCAAAATAAACTCTTGTCTTGGTGAGGTTTAGGCAAAGACTGTGGTTTGGGTTCAAATAACAAAAGACTTTACTCTCAGTGGTTAATAGACCTCACCATACATTTTTACTTCAGTGCCGTATACCACAGTGGACTGTTCAATGATGAGTGCTGAACCATAGATATGTATTGCTCAACACACACTAGAAAACACATGTTTCTACTAATGGTTGACATTCATGGCAGTCCTGGAGCTACCTGTAAGAGTTTGAATCAAGGATTTTGTTGAAGACATAACTACTTCTTTAACATCAGAATAAGTAAAGAAAATAGTCCTTATCATTAGGTGCTCATACAGTGTCCATATCATTTCAGTATCTTTAATTTCATTGGTTTTTTTCTATGTTGTGGTTTAAAAGACATACTGACATCAACCAGACAGCTTTAAATGTGTTACATAACAGTCTGAAAATCAGACTGGGTACATTTGGCCTAGTGGATAACAGCCACTTGTCGCCGCTCCAAATTCAGCAAATTATCAAAGAACATGTCTTTTATTACTGCTGTAAATCTAACACCTTACCAAACAGCATATATCTCACCACCATCTCTCCACATATCTCCAACACAGCGCACTATAAATAGTTCATAAACAGTTTGAGTGATTGTCTTAAAATAAGACAGTATGAGCTGCGATTGATTGTCAGAGGAAATGGAAACTGGAAATGCCATATAAGGTCAGATGAGGATGTTTAATTCCATACTAACAATGAACAAAAAAGTGCGGATACAGATAGAACAATAGTGTATGTATAACTGTATGGTAAAATAAGAACAAAATAATGTGCGTGTTTCTTCCTTCAGCGTACTCCCCACATCAAGACAACCATATTAGCCCCTACATGAGCGGCAGCCAGTCTGTAAGCCCCGCCCCACTGACCACGCCCAGATACTCTCCGTTGCCCAGGGCGATGACTGGAGAAGACGACATCCCGAGGTAAGACCTTACACACACATGTATGGGAGAGAGGAAACAAAATACTGTTTTAATGCAATATCCCATTTTTACTTTAGATAACCCACTGAGAGTACAAATTAACCATACTGCAAAAACAAACATAGTAATGTGTTTACTTTTTAAAACGCTCCCTGGGTTTCCAAAGATGACTAATACAGAACGTTGAACTACAGACCATATATAGAGGGTTAATGACTATAAAAACTTTGTTTATCTAGATATCTTTAATGACTTACTGTTATATGTTACATTAGATAATGGCTTAGGTTAAATTGTACAAATTAAATATAATAACTTGTCGCATCTTAGTATGGTTTAATTTATGGCTTATTTTGGGTTTAAGTAACCAATTAATTGTATTGCAATTAGTCCCACATAGGATTATATTATATAACCCAAGGGTTAATGCATTTCATTATATTTTAACGTATCAACTACCGCATATCCGAAACTAATGGAGTTGAATATAAAACAGACACTATAAGAAACTTTTGAGGCGTATCATTAGGTCAGTTAGACATCTGTATTGTCCATCAAAGACATTTCTTATTTCATCAAAGCTTCTTTTTATGTACTACGTAATTTAAGCTGTTAACAGGAGCTGCTCTTCCTCTTTCTTTCGTTTCCCCTTGCTGTGTGTCTCATGTCCCGCTCTGAGGTCTTAAGTGGCCCTCAATTAGATCCACAACACCAGATTGGAAAACAGAGTCCTTAGAGAGCCCAAAATACACAGTGACCTCTGTCCCTGACGGCCTTCCATGCTGTGTGTGTGTATGTGTGTGTCTTTGAGTGTGTGCGTGTTTGGCAGCAAAGGGCAGATGGCAGTGAGAATTTGGTCTGGCATGTAAACTCAGGTCACATATGTACACACACACACACATTCAGATACTCTTTCTGTGCTGCTCTACTGTTTTTAATCCATTTTAATGGAGGTATTACAGTCTATCACACAACCCTCGTCACACAACTAGCGTCACCGTGGTAACCAGAATACGACTCGTTTTGTCATAGCCCTCTGAGCCAATCAGTGCGCTTTGATTATAATAAATCTGATAAGCCTCAGACCGACTGCAGAATGGTCATTTTGACGTCTGCCCCTCTATTTTGTAGCGCTCTCTCTCATCATTCCTCTTCACTCTCTGATTAGTTTGTCATGCAGAGAGAAGATTATTGGTTTTAATTAGTGTCCATCGCTTGTGCTCAATTCAAGGACATCTGCAGTTTCTGTAACCCGGAGACTTCAGGTGTAATGTGGGATTATTTGTTCATGTGTGCTGAAGAACAAGGGGTGCACAGAAACACTCTCTCTCATATACTGATGCCAACACCTTAGCTCGGGGGGTCTGTCGGAACAGATTACCAGTGCTATCTTTTTCCCAAATGTAATATCTGTATACTGCACCACACTGCATGGAACCTATTGAGATATGTGGGACTCATTTTAATGGAAGGTAACATTAGGCCAGAGTTAACTGTCAAACTGAGTTGCCCATCATTGTAATGACTGTAATTGATGGTTGGAACAGAGTTTTTATGATCATTTCTTTGGCAAGTTTTAAATGTGTTAATGTCCGATCTAGAGAGGCTAAAGGGGGATCAAACCCAAATGGGATGCACAGTGTATGGATTAGTTATTAATACCCCGATAACTCGCTAACAAAACACTTTACACTTTTTTTAATGGCTTCTGCATGATGATTGTTTGTGAAAAGTAAGGATGACATTAAATCAAACAATACATAGGTATTATAAAACCAGAAGTGTGGCTGTTTAAGACATGGTTAATATCGTGCTGGTGCAACAAAACAGAGACAGTGCGCTACTGACATCTTCTGGACATCCTGGGGAATTATGTCAATTTGAAATGCCCTCTACTTTCACTGAGGTGTACCATGTAGCATTAAACAATAGGCTAGTATCCCAGATATTATACATTTAGAACACATTAGAATATATACACTAAAGCTACTATGTGTTACAGTTTCAATATGTTTTCCTTTGTAGTTATGTAGTATACAATATTATATTTTATTATATTTATTTCCTAAACATGTCATCATCCACCTCTCCTTTTCACTGGTTCTTAGGATGTTGTCAAACAGTTACAACTAAAAGTCAGCTTAGCAGCAAAAGGCAGTAATTGCTTCTTAACCATTAACTGAGGTCTTTATACATTAACGTGCTTAAAAAACAGATTGTAACGTATTTGTTCCCACATGTTTGATACAGTCATCTCTTACCCTAACAAAGTGTGTGTCTCTATTTTGTGTTTCTCCCAGGGAACCCAGGCGGGTGGTGCTCCAGCGGGGGACCACAGGTCTCGGTTTCAACATTGTTGGAGGAGAGGATGGAGAGGGAATCTTCATCTCCTTCATCCTCGCCGGGGGTCCAGCGGATCTCTGTGGGGAGCTACGAAAGGGAGACCGCATCCTGTCGGTATGTTGCTAACACGTATTACAAACAGTACACACAGATATACAACACATGCATTGTAACCATTACAGTATAAGTAAATCCAATCCTAGTATTATTACTGTGTAGGTCATAAAGTGTTACCATGAGAGTCATCCTGTCAAGTTATCTTCCTCTGGATCCTCCATTTTCTTTTGTATTAATGTGAAGTCACAACTCAAAGTAACTTTTGCTGAAGCTGAATATTTTTGAATTTAATGGAAACTTTGGCGCCATTGGTGTATGACTGTGTGTGTTTATGGACATTTTTAAGTGCTTGGTCAGGGAGAAAGGCTCTATATAAGTGCACTCCTTTTAACATTTAACATGCATTCATTGTTTCTTCTATCTAAGGACAATTCCAGCAATATTTAATGTTTTCTACAAGTTATGAGTGTCTACTAATGGCTGCTGGGGGATGTGTGTTACCGCTTTTATGTATTTTTTGTTCCGCTTAAGTGAAATATGGCTTTAATTTTCTTCAAATGGGATTTTAACAGGATTCAATTTTCATATTGTCGAGGCAGTGATAATCCCTGCAGAATGAAATCATTGACATGGAATGATTAAATGCAATAAACATGTTTTCACAAAGTACACACGTACTACACATTCATGTGAGTTATTGATGCACCAAGCTGTACAGTGTTCTTAATGGTGTGCTCAGCTCAGTGTACATGAATTACTATTGATCCAAGGCCCTAATATTATGTGTGTGTGTGTGTGTGTGTGTGTGTGTGTGTGTGTGTGATGTGTGTATGTGTGTGTGTGTGTGTGTCTGTGTGTAGGTGAATGGTGTGGACCTGTCCAGTGCAACACATGAGCAGGCAGCAGCAGCTCTGAAGAACGCAGGACAGACCGTTACCATAGTAGCGCAGTACAGACCTGAGGGTGAGTACACAAAATACATTGGCTTCAATCGCATGTGATCTCTTTCCTGAAGTGATGCACAGCTGTCTGTTCTTGCTGTCCAAACACTTAAGACACCTCGTAGAAATACACATTTCCTTTGAGTTACTTTAAAATTGTAATCTAATCAAATAGACAGAAGAAAATGATTAGCAAACTTAAATGACCCCGAGGTGTAAATTAAACGGTTGGGAGATGTGTCTCGTCGGGATCTTCAGTTCCAAAACGCTCACTTCAGTCTCTCCTAATGGGCTGAAGCGAAATAGCAATTGTATTCCCATAATTGACTACAGCTTCCAGAGGTCGCCACTAGTTGGCAATACTCTTTTGACTGTTTGCACAAAACAGAAACTGTCTCCAACAGGTGTAATCTGGGTGCCTGAAACATCACTGTTAGGTGTGGGTAACACTGCAGTACATTTTGCACACACACACACACACACACACACACACACACACACACACACACACACACACACACACACACACACACACACACACACACACACACACACACCACACACACACACACACACACACACACACACACACACACACACACACAACACCGAGAGACAGAGTGGGCACTATCCTGGATGTGTGTCTTCTGGGAGTGACTGAGAAGGCCGTAACCTAGGATACCAGGCTATAACTGCCGATCTGCTAATGGGATGCCGTGATGGTAGGAGACCTGAGAATAACACATAGACAAAAAACGCACACACACAGATACAAGGCACCAGGTCCCCTGGTCCCTTTGTGCCATCAGCCATGTTTTATTGAGTCAGAGGTGTTTCAGGGAGGTGTTGTTATTGGTAAGAGCTGCAGAGTATAAGACACGGGTCTTTTGAAAAGGCTGAGGAAATATCTATTTAACTCATGAAATGAATCTAATGTGAAGTACTTTAATGTGAGATAATGACATGTTCTAAAAACTAGATGTTTGCCACTCAACAAAACAGTTTGGATTCATCTTTTGTATTTTCTTAAAGGTCATTATTTGCAGTATATGAAAAAACAGCTGTCAATATATTATACATTAAGTCACTAGTTTTAAAAATAGAGGAGGCAGCTAAATGTACCTTGAGGAAAGCATCACCAGGGAAACATTTTATTTAGTGCAAGTAGGTAGAGCTAGCACATTTGAAAACATACGAGGAGGAGTTTAGGCCAGAATATCACACAGGGAGGATGCAGACCAACTTGCGTCAACATTAATGTATAGTAAGGAAAATCTTCCCAGTCCAAATGTGGATGCAGGTTGTTTAACTTATGAAGGTGTGGGGCAACGTTCATTAGGATGTGGAAGGCCCTGTCAGAACATAATGAAGCTCCCACCAGCTACTGTATGCACATGTGATGGAATCTGCATACAGTAGGGAAGTGATCCATATATCCTGCTGAAAAAGTGATGCTCAACAAAATCCAAAAGGTCGTACAAGCAACATGTGAATCTAATTATTTTAATAGAGAAAGTGTGTTCGAAAAAAGATCCTCAATGCAGTTTATGTTCTGTATTTAATTATTTAGATCATCTGCATTGCAAAAGGGATGTAGTGCGAATCAAACTGCTTTAAACTAGATAAAACTATCGATCATTAAAATACTATAAAATGCTCCATTTAATAGTTACAACCTGTTCAAGAAATCTATTTGCTAATCTGAATATATATATCAACGATCTGCACTTTATTTGTTTATATCATATCTATAGTAAGAAAACTGCATTACGTTCATTTCACATTCATTGTGACTTCGGTGTTTTGCCCTATGAATCTGTACCTTTGTCACTCGTGACTACAAAAAGGTTCAACCCTTAAAAGTTGCAATTTAATTTAGTACGAGGAGGACAACATGGATAAACATCTGTAAACTGACTTGGACACTCTCTGTAATGATATTTTAAAGACAGAGGAAGAACATCAGTGTATTTCCTTTGAGTTAGTGTTGGTGTCTGCTCTAGAGTTAACTCGGATCAGCACCATGGACAGTGTCCTTGGATCTTAAAATGTCCTAAAGACCAGGGGCCTCATTTATAAAGGGATATACGCTCAAAAAATGGCGTACGCCAGTTTCTACGCAATGTTTGCGATTTATAAAATACTAACTTGACGGGAAAACGTGCGGTCCTCCACGCAAACTCTAACCCATGCGTACGCACTAAGCACAAAAACGGGAGAGTCGAGAAACTGCGACACCGTTGGCAGAAGGAAGAATGGAGAGAAATATGTGGAAATAATACCATAAATAAAATGTTACCTCTCATTTATCATATATGAAGAATTCATTTTCACAAATTGATTAAAGCCAATCTTAACATGATTTAACAAAAGTCTGTTTGCGACTCCTCAGTGCACACAAAAACATAACTTGGAGAAATAAATAAATACGGATATGTTATTTAAAACCACCTCGAATATGTTGTGTTAATGTTATGAAATGTTTTCTCATAAATGATGCGGTTTTGCATTTCTATAGGTTGTACGAGCATGGTTTTATATACTACCATGTTTAATAATGTTGTATGCCGTTTGCTAAGACTTGATAAGTCGCTCATAAAACACGGGAGGTATGGAAACTAAGAACACAATATGTGGTAAATTGTACAGCTAATATAACTCAACACATTAGTTGTATTTCCTTTAACTGGTGGATATAGAGTTGCTGCAGTGGAGACGCTGCACAGCTGATCGACAGCTGGGACACAAACCACCAAATACGAAAACATAATTCAGATCCAGTCGTCATGACTCCACTCCGGAGGGATTCCCCGATCTTTTCTTACAGTTTCTCATCAAGGGCGTGTCTCCTGTCCCCGGTACAAACACACTGCCTGAGGAAGGCTATGTGTATTTTTTTTGAAAATGATACCGTGTCAGATTTTGGTTATTTTGTGGAGGTCGAGATAAATCATATTGTTTGGTGGATGCAGTTTGAACCAGAGTAGCAACATGGAGGTCGGATCGTCACCAAAATAAATAAATAAGTGGTCCGAAAAAGGTTCATGACAAAAAAAATACACATAGCCTTCCTCAGGCAGTGTGTTTGTAGCGGGGACAGGAGACCCCCCCTTGATGAGAAACTGTAAGAAATGATCGGGGAATCCCTCCGGAGTGGAGTCATGACGACTGGATCTGAATGATTTGTTTGTATTTGGTAGTTTGTGTCCCAGCTGTCGATCAGCTGTGCGCAGTGTCTCCACTGCAGCATGTGCATCTCAACCCCCTCCCCCCCCCCTCCCCGCAGCAACTCTATATCCACCAGTTAAAGGAAATACAACCAATGTGTTGTGTTATACTGTATTTGCTGTACAATTTACCATATATGGTGTTCTTACTGTAGCTTCCATACCTCCGGTGTTTTACGAGCGACTTATCAAGTCTTGGCAAACGGCATAAAACACGATTAAACATGATAGTGTGGTGACCACCTATTTAACCACTGGGACATAATTCAAACTTGGAACTACAGTTGCGGTTATTGTTCCCACACGGACATGTTATGGGTTACCTATAAATAGTGTGTACCCTCTTGGCTCTCTCTTCTTGTCGACCCGGGCTGCGACCCGACAACATGTTCTTTGCAGCTTGTGAATAAATCACTATTCTTGCACCTTCCTTGCACCGCCTCTGACTCCATATCTCTCGGCACTACACTGGTGACCCTGATACGTCTTGAGAAGTTTCCGGGACGGAGCCGAACACGGCAAAAGGAACTCGAGTTCCTTTCTCGAAATGCCGGGGTTTGATTGGAGACGTCCGTGGCTGCCATCGGCACGCGGACTGAGGCTCGGTGCGCGCTCCGAAGAAGGCTGGAGACGTTGCTCGCCGTTCCCGCATCGGCTTTCTATCCAACGGGGGGACGATGCACGACCTGCTGGGTCGACCAGCAACCCCATTGCTACCTCGTGGGTTTGTTGTTCGGGGCATGCGGCTGCAGGTCCCGGCTGCTAACCACGTGGGGCTAACGACGGCTGGCAGCTACCCATGGCTGGCAGCTAGCGGCTAACGACGGCTAGTGCTAACGGCTATCAGCCCTTTTGAGTTTTGTTTTTTTTCTGGTGCCGGAGAGGAGGTTCGACCAGCCGGTTGACCTCATGTGGACACTCTCACATTTTTCACCACCTCCACGGTGGTTCCAGACGCCACTCACGTGTTCATCGACGCCTGGGTGGTGCACTCCTGGACCCCGTCTCGCCTCGACGATTTTGGACGTCGCCCATGCTGCCATCGGCCCGTGGGTGGCGCGCTCCGGAGCCTGTCTCGCCTCTCCTGCCTTCCGGGGATATCCAGACGCCACTCACGTTCATCGGCGCCTGGGTGGCGCACTCCTGGACCCCCTCTCGCCTCGACAGTTCCGGACGTCGCCCATGCTCCATCGGTCCGTGGGTGGCGCGCTCCGGGACCCTGTCTGGCCTCTCCTGCTTCCCGGGGATGCCTCAGCGCCTGCTGAGGACTTCGTGCCCGCCGCCGTTGCACGTCTGCCTGCGGCCGGGTTGCGCTCCTTCCTCCCGGGGGGACTGCTCCTCTCTTCCGGGGATACCTCGACGCCTGCCGAGGACTTCGTGCCCGCCGCCGTTGTGCGTCTGCCTGCGGCCGGGTTGCGCTCTTTCCTGCTGGGTTCTCCGCGACACCTACTGCGGCCCCCTTACGACGGCCCGCCCCCGGTGTGGGTGCCCTCGTTAGGGCCCCTGCCCTCTCCTGCGGCCCCACCCTCCTCGGCCCTTGTGGTGCTTCCTCCACGGACGTGAGGATATATATTTTTTTGCCATGTTTGAATTCTGGGGGGGCTTGTGTGGTGACCACCTATTTAACCACTGGGACATAATTCAAACTTGGAACTACAGTTGCGGTTATTGTTCCCACACGGACATGTTATGGGTTACCTATAAATAGTGTGTACCCTCTTGGCTCTCTCTTCTTGTCGACCCGGGCTGCGACCCGACAACATGTCCTTTGCAGCTTGTGAATAAATCACTATTC